AGTATTTGTTGTTAAGCTTCTAATCAAGACTACTGCCTCCTCCCAAACTCAGATACTGAAGAGTAGTGAGAAAAACCTGAGACTGCGTCTGAAGACTGACATTCCTATTATTCCTGTTAGCTAAAGTAGGTCACCCTCCATCTTCCCAGAAATCTATCATCATCTACGATGATGGCATAATACTATGTCATAACAGTATGTTTACATCAGCCCCACCTGCCTTCCAAAGCTGCCATAATAATGAAGCAAAATAGTTTATACCCAAGGAAGGAGTTAGGAAATGGGAATGTACTACTCCAAACGGCAGCTGATTCTATACGATTGGTTTACAAGCCCATTCTCTTGGTGATAGTGCAGGAATGTAGTTGTTACTCAGACAGTATTTTTGCGTGACAGTTAAAAACTAGTTTGAAGCTGGACACCAGTGGCTCACACCTACAATCCTAGCTACTCAAGAAGCTAAGATCTGAGTTCAAAGCCAGACCTGGTAAGAAAGTCCTTGAAACGCTTGTCTCCAATTTACCACCAGAAAACTGGAAATGGTGCTCAGGGACAATGCCCAGGCCCCGAGTTCAAACCCCATAACAGACAACATCCCAGGAAGGTGAAATTGACTTCACTGGGTGGTTTCCATGAGCTTGTCCCCACATAAGCACCGTGACATCATCATCAGACTTGACCAGAGCAGAGTCTTGGTTTTTAACTTCACTGTCCCAGCTGACAGACCTCAGCCCCTCGCTGTCCACAGGAGACTCCGGTTCTCCCCCCAGTGACCTCCCTAAGCCTTCCCAGAGCCTGTGATCAGATGGAGAGAGACAGAGACAGAAGAGAGACAGCTATAGACACAGGCACACAGACAGACAGACACAGAGACAGAGAGATAGGGTCAGAAGCCTCAGAAGCAGACAGAAAGACAGACACTGACAACATATCCACCCTAGCCAGAAGCCAGGCCTGATTACCTAGTGCCGTGTATAGGACAATGTCAGTTTCAGATATCACAGCTCACTTTTGCTTTCCTCTTTTTTTTTTGGTCCAGTCGTGGGGCCTGAACTCTGGGCCTGGGCACTGCCCCTCAGCTCTTCAGCTCAAGGCTAGCGCTCTACCACTTGAGCCACAGCGCCACTTCTGGCTTTTTTCTTTTTGCTTATGTGGTGCTGAGGAATCGAACCCAGGGCCTCATGCATGCAAGGCAAGCGCTCTACCACTGAGCCACCTTCCCCGCTCACAGCTCACTTTTGGAAGGGAGGAATATCATCAGAGGATTAATTCATGAGTATAATTTCTTAGAACAATGGAAAAGAATGGGCCATTATTCAACTTTTCTTGGTCTGCTTTGTGTGTGTGTGTGTGTGTACTCATTGTGATGAACTTGTGTTATGTCATAACTTACTGTACCATAAGCATACAATACACATTGCTAAGCCATAAGCTTAGCAACAGACCCAGTAGGACTTGCAGCCAGGGATACCCTCCTAGCCTTTTCTAGCCTCTCCAAAGATGCCCAAGAAAGCCCCTATTGCTTATGAAGGCATTGGCTGTCTTGGCATGAGGGCTATCATTTTTCTGTTCATATGTCAAGGCATTGCATGGGTACACAGTTCTAGTAAGGCCTGGGTACTTTCATAGCTCAAAGAGATTGTACAAGGGAAGTGAACGAGACACAGAAACTTCAGAACATCGGGGGACCTAGAAACTGCCCTATTAAGGTATTTCCCTCTGCATTTTAATGTTCCAATTGATTTAACTTTTTAACGGTCTGTTCTTGTGACCTGTTGGACCCGTTCAGCAGATTCAAATCTGCACCATTGTCCTTCGCCTCGCATAATGAATTCTGAAGCAGAATTTCCATCTGTCGGTAGAGAGGACAGAGCAGCTCATCTCCACATGGAAATCAAGTTCTCACCTTTCCGCAGCTGAAGCACCACTTCATCGTCAGCAATGTGCAAAACCACAAATCAAAGAAACTCACCTGGCATTCACGAGTACCCAGGAATTGCACTTCAGGATATTTTTACCAAAAAAAAAGAAAAGAAAAGAAAAGGGATGTTGGTGCAGGGTTCTCCAAGAAGATATGTAAATCAGAGAATGGCACCTTTGGGGGTGAGGAGCTTTCTCCCTCTTGGCCCTGTCTGGAAACTCAAGCAGAGTTCCTCTTCTTCTTTTTTAATCTCCCTCAGACTAACTGCTCCATACACACTGCACTATGCCTGGATGCATTATTTAAATCCAAGAAGAAAACCACATGGGGATTTCTGAAGAGCTCCATGTGGCTACAAAAGTCTCAGCTCAGAAAGGAGCTCTTTAATCTCTTCACAGGGGCACAGAGGAAGAACTCCAGAGAGACTTCCCAATAGGAACCACTGCCCCTTCCAGCTAAATCTTGCATTTTTCCTTTGCTGCTTTAAAATCTCTATTGGCCTTGCATCTGAGAAGGCTTAGGAGCGTAATTTATTCCATAAATGGATCCCAGCAATTTATGCCCGCTGAATTGGCAATATATTAACAATTTTTCTCCCCACTGGCTACCATAGAAGATTATTGGAGGCCATGTTATACAAGTAAAGACTTTGAGTTGGGCACTGTGGCTCATACCTGTAATCCTAGCTACTCTGGAGGCTGAAATCTGAGGATCAAGGCTCAAAGCCAGCCCAGGTAGGAAAGTCTGTGAGACTCTTAGCTCCAATTAACTTCCCCCCCCAAAAAAAAGCCTGAAGTGGAACTATGGCTGAAATGGTAGAGCTCTAGCCTTGAGCAAAAAATGCTCAGGGACAGCATTCAAGGCCTTGAGTTCAAGGCCTTGTACGGGCATTTAAAAAAAAAAAGACTTCTAGATTAGTGATCCTGTATGAATGCAGAAATGTTCTAGCATCATGGGGAGTCAATGAAAATTATTATTTTAATTATATTATTATAGTCTTTAAGTAGTCATACAAAGTGGTTTCGATTCCATATGTGAGTTTACGATCACATTGTATCTTGATCAATATCACCCCTTCCATCCTTCTCAAAATCTCCCAACTCCACCCTTTCCCTCAATTTTTCCAATTCCTAGGATTAATACTGATTTTTTTTATTTTGGTGGCTTTTTAATTAATAATGTCAGAGTTGAGAAAAATGTCCCTTCATACATTGTCCTTCTGTAGGCGATCCAACTCTTCCTTGGTCCCTCTTCACCAAACTGAGTAAACACAAAAAAGTCTTAGTTCTATATTGCATTCCATTTCTGTATTTTCTTTCCATTTGAGATTTATGCCAAAATAATAGCTCAGTGCCCTGAGACGCTTGCTTCCTTGACAAGTAAACATTAAGTATTTGTTCTTAGTGTTACCTTTCTCAGAAAGAGATGGAATTAGTGCCAGTTCTTTCATTGTTTGGCCTCCAATTGAAAAAACAAACTCAAATCTGTGTGTACGTCATCAAAGCTACAATTCCAAAAGAGGAACTCTTATAATTCCAAAAGAGGAACTCTATACTATTGTTTAGATAAAAAGTCCCAAACATCTAGATTTACTTAGAGTTTATACTATCCACTCAGTAATAACTATTTTATTCATTTCTCAGTTTTCAGTCAAGAGCCTTAAGGTAGTTCAGCAGTGGCTCAGGTCTGTAATCCTACTCAAGACATTGAGATCTTAGGATTGTGGTTCAAAGTCAGCCCAGGAAGGAAAGGCCATGAGATTCTTATCTCCAATTAGTCACTGAAAAGTCAGAAGTGGAGCTGTGATTCACCTGGTAGAGTGCCAGCTTTGAGCAGAAAAGCAAAGGGGACAGCATGTAGGTCTTGAGTTCAAGCTCCGGGGTCAGCACACACTCACACACAAACACAGAGAACTTCAATATGTCTTAATTCAAAGACTTTGGTCTAAAATATACCCAAACTAAATGATGATAATCTGCACAAATGGTTAAGCATAAAAAACATTTCTTCCAGCGTTATTTATATTATCCCCTAAATATCTCATTGTTTGCATTTATAATCATGGGTTGGAGAATAATATTGGTTACTACTCTGTAGATCTTCCTGCTTTCATATTTACTAGGCATGTTTGCCCTGAGAATATGAAGCTGACACATTTGTTGCAATAATGGCTTCCATTCCAAGGTGTAGATTTGGTAACTACAAATTCCCCCAGGTGGTTAAGAGAAGGACCCTGGCTCTGTGTTCATCAGCTCTCCGTGGCCATAACAAACGCCTGAGACAATGAATTTCTAAAGATTCACTAAAGATTCTAAAGGTTCATTTTGGCTCCCAGTGCCGGAGGCCCCAGACTTTGACAAACTCGACCCATTACTGGGTCCAATGAGGTAGGACAGTGAGTGCATCATGGTAGGAGCTCGTGACTGGAGCAAAACCTCATACCAGGGAAGGAGAGAGATTCATCAGGGGGTGAGGACTGGCAAGGCAATTCCCAGTGACCTAAGACTTCTCACTACACTCTACCTCTCAAAGGATCCACCACTTTCCTGGGCATCACATCTAACACAGAAGCCTTGGGAGAAGGGAGGCATTCAGAATACAAACTCCAAGCAAGGTCCTATCAGAATATAAAAACAAAGTCATTCTGTGTGGTCCACTCTGCATATAGAGCTACCCCAAAGCAGCAGCATGGACAATTCATCTACATCTCTTGTCACAGCTCTCTAGAATTGTATTGTAATATTGACCATCACTGTGTCTAGTTTAGGCCCTTCCAACAGAGGGATGTAGTTCTCAGATGTTAACTTGTCTTTGAGTGATATGTTTTTACAATCCCTAACTTGTCTGGATACCAAGACACAGCTAGTGTTTCTGAGATCAGTGTGGAGAGTAGCATGGCCCCATCAACTCAAAGCAAACAAAAGTGAGATCATTCTTTACTGGAGATTTTGACTCCCCCCCCTAGAGCCACAAACGTCAGTAAACATAAGGCTCAAAAACATATTCCACCCCACCTGTGAATTCCTTTGCAATTTGAATTCTTACAAGAGATTTCACATGAACAAGGAGGTAGGAGGAATTTTTTTTAAAGGAAAAATGTATTTAGAGATGAAGAAGATGTCTTGCCACAAACCAGTAGGAGCTTGAAATTATTCCAAGCCAGGGAGCCATAGAGACGCTAAAACATAAGGTAGAATTCAGAGGAAGCTGATGGTGTTTTGATTTCATGTAATCATTTTCTCCATGCTTGTTTCCAAGATCCAATTGTTGGAAAATGTTTCTGCAGAACAATGGTGTGAAAGGAAGACATGAAAATCTCTTAGAGGAATCATTTCCCTTTATGGGTCTTTCTCTTTCCTTAGGTCAGTGGCAGTAAGATCTCAACCTTTAGGAATCCATGTTATAAGCCAGATGCCAGGGGCTGAGATCTGAGGATCACAGTTCAAAGCAGCCCAGGGACGGAAAGTCCATGAGGCTGTTATTCTTTTTATTTTATTTTTTTTTGGTTGGTCCTGGGGCTTGAACTCTGGGCCTGAGCGCTGTCCCTCAGCTCTTTAGCTCAAGGCGAGCGCTCTACCACTTGAGCTACAGCGCCACTTCTGGTTTTCTAGTGGTTTATTGGAGATAGGAATCTCACGGTCTTTCCTGCCCGGGCTGGTTTTGAACCGAGATCCTCAGATCTCAGCCTCCTGAGTAGCTAGGATTACAGGTGTGAGCCACCAGCACCCAGCTTGAGGCTATTATTCTTAAACCACCCAAAAGCCAGAAGTGTAACTATGGCTCAAGTGATAGAGCACCTTGGGCAAAAAACAATTTTTTTTTTAATGCTTATAAGTCAGTGCACAGGTCCTGGGTTCAAGCCCAGATCAGCTCAAAAAATACAAAAGAATCCATGTCATTAGATGAACGTGTGTGTGTGTGTGTGTGTGTGTGTGTGTGTGTGTGTGTAAGTTCAATCTTGTGAAGTTTTACCATGGTTATGAATGGTTAAGAGAAAAAGAAAGAAAGAGAGAGAAAAGAAAGAAAGAAAAGAAAGAAAGGAAGGCAGGCAGGCCGGCCAATATAAAGATCCTGGTGGAGCTTCATTATCAAGCTAGGAAGTGACTAAAACCAATCAAACCACTTTGATCTGAACACTCTCCAGAGAGTGGTGCTCACCCTTGGTGCTCTTGGGTTCCTTGGAAGTGACTAAACCGGGTCAAGGCTGAGCATACTGTTTAATGTCAATCCTTCTCAGACTCTTCTGCACTACCCGGCTGGTGCCACCATAAATAAGAACCATTTGACAAGGACAATCCGCTGCCATCCTAATTAAAAAATACAAATGGCATACATAAAATGATATTTGGATGCTCCCACCCACATTAACACAGATTAAAAAGCTATACTCTTAAGCTTGCATCATTCATTCATGCAGAATATATTGAGCTTCAATTATGAGCCTGGCACAGTGCCAAGAGCTGGGAAACATAAGGGAACCAGCCAGCCTCAGTCCCCAAGGAGCATCTAGCCCCAAAGGAGAGAGAAAGAGAGAGAGAGACTCAGAGAGAACTAGCCAAAACAGCAGGTTGCATCTGTTCTGGTGGAGACACAGCACCAAAGGAGAAGCCAAAGGTACAGCTATTTTTGGCACATGCACAAACTTAGCAATACTTGCTGGCAGGGATACCTTTGGCCGCAGTTCTCTAAGTATTAATCTCCTCTACTGTTTCCACAACTTGGTTGGCATCTCTGTGTCCTTCCTCTCTTCCTTAAACCATCATGTAAATGTTCAAGAGACAAGGAACTCGATTTGACAACAGTTCAACTCTTACCTCCTAGGAAGCCATTTTAAATCAACTCCTCTTCCTCTGAAAATGTGAGAAGACACACTTAAGAATTTTGGCTGGGGGCTGGGAAGTTGGCTCAGTGGTAGAGCGCTTGCCCTTCATGCCTGAAGCCCTGGGTTCGATTCCTCAGCACCACATAAGCAAAAAGAAAAAAGCCAGAAGTGGCGCTGTGGCTCAAGTGGTACAGCGCTAGCCTTGAGCTGAAGAGCTGAGGGACAGTGGCCAGGCCCAGAGTGCAGGCCCCACGACCGGACCCAAAAAAAAAAAAAAGAATCTCAAGAATTCTGGCTGGGTATCAGTGGCTCATGCCTATCATCCTAGCTACTCAGAAGGCTGAGATCTGAGGATCATAGTTCAAAGCCAGACCAGACAGGAAAGTCTGTGAGACTCTCACCTCCAATTAAATACAATTTTAAAAAAACACCCACAAAACAATAACAACAAAAATGCTGGAAGTGGAGCTTGGGTCAAGTGGTCCAGTGCTAACCTTGAGCATGAGAACTCCACAGGCCCTGAGTTCAAACCCTAGGAAAAGAAAGAAAGAAAAAGAAAGAAAGGAAGGAAGGAAGGAAGGAAGGAAAGAAAGAGAGAGAGAAAGAAAGAAGAGAGAGAGAAGGAGGGAGGGAGGGAGCATGGAAGGGAGGGAGGGAGGGAGCAAGGGAGGGAGTGAGGGAAGGAGGAAGGAAGGAGAGAGAGAAAGAAAGAAAGAAAGAAAGAAAGAAAGAAAGAAAGAAAGAAAGAAAGAAAGAAAGAAAGAAAGAAAGGAAAGAAAGGAAGGAAGGAAGGAAGAAAGAAAGGAAGGAAGGAAGGAAGGAGAGAGACAGAGAAAGAAAGAGAGAGAGAGGGAGGAAGCAAGGAAGGAAGGAAAGAAGAAGAAAGGAAAGGAAAGGAAAGAAAAGTAAAAAAAAACTCTGTGGTATAAAAACAGCCACTTCAACAAGTCTCAATAATTCAAGACACAATGACCTTGATTGTCCCCTCAGAGAAATAAGGATAAGATCTGAACTCATCTCCTATGTTCTGTGGTTCATACCAGTGGAATCTCTCTCTCTCTCTTTCTCTCATATATTCTCTTTTTCTTCAATTTCCACACACCTCTTCCTTTAAAAAATTCAATTAATTCATTTTACTTATTTATTTTTTGTTTATGTAATACTAAGGAATCAAACCCAGGGCCTCATGCTTGGTAGGCAAGCACTCTGCCACTGAGCCACAGTTCCCAGACATACACACACACACACACACACACACACAAGCACACACACACATACACACACACACATCTTCTGAGTCCCCAAGTCCTCTCTACCATGAAACCTTTCCCAGGGCCCATGTCAGAAGAGATTGCATTCATGTTCAAGGTTTCCAACTCTTTCAGCTTATATTATAATGTTATGTTTCTTGGTTCTCCCTGAATATCTTAAAACCTTTGAGAGTGTGGATTGTGAATTCATTTTTGAATTCACTAAGTGCCTTGTACCATGTTGGGCACTTCCTAGCGATTCAATAAATCAATGTTTTAAAAATGTACAAATAAGATTATTTCTACAAGAAGCAGTGAAACAATCACTCTTGCTTTCCTCTCTGAGTTCTGAATTTTCCATTTGTGCACAATCACATCCAAGGTCCAAATCATACTCCCACCTCCTCAAAATATCTGAGGGCCCCCATTTCCCAGGTTGGAAAGTTCTAGATCATAATACCCCTGAAAGATAAAACCAGGTAGGCACAGTTGATCTGGACTTTTAGTATTTCTCCAGGGCAGGCTGTCCTGGGCTGATATGTTGTCAGATGAGTAACTCCTCTGATGGCTTCTCCTTATGAGCTGGAAATTCAGAGTCTCTCTCTCATTGCATTGTTTTGAGTCACTAGAATAATAAGCAGGTAAGTTTTCTTTCACGGCAGCCTTCGAAATATTAGATGCTAGCCGGGTACTTAGGGCTCACGCCTGTAATCCTTGGTATTCAGGAGGCTGAGACCTGAGGATGGCAGTTCAAAGTCAACCTGGGTGGGAAAGTCTGTAAGACTCTGATTGCCAATGAACCACCAAGAAGCTGGAAGCAGAAGTATGGCTCGAGTAGTAGAGTGCTAGCCCTGAGCAGAAAAAAGAATGCTAAGGGACAGTGCTGACTTCAAGACCTAATATCAACACCAAAAAGGAGGAGGAGGAGCAGCAGCAGCAGCAGGAGCAGCAGTAGAGGAAAAGGATAAAAGGATCGACATTGATCAAGAGACATGATATTCATGAACTGCTTTGTTGAAGGGCAATTCCTTTGTATAACTACTTGAAGATAATAAAAAGTATTTTAAAGAGAAAAAGAAATCTTAGAGGCTGAGGTTCATGGAGAAGTGACTTTTAATTTATATCTAGCCACCAAATTAAATTCACAATCACCAATATATTATATCATACTTTGGTTTTGTCCTTGGCAATATTCTTGTTTTTTGGTTTTTGTTTTTTTGTCAGTTGTGGGGCTTGAACTGTGGGCCTGGGCGCTGTCCCTCAGCTCTTCAGCTCACGGCAAGTGCTCTACCACTTGAGCCACAGCACCACTTCCAGTTTTCTTAGAGATTTATTGGAGATAAGAGTCTCACAGAGTTTCCTTCCTGGGTTGGCTTTGAACCGTGAGTCTCAGATCTCAGCCTCCTGAGTAGCTAGATTACAGGCATGAGCCACGGGTACCAGGCACAATATTCTTTTTTTATCCTGGGGCTGGAACTTAGGGCCTGCTTCCCAGTGCTCTTTTGCTCTAAGCTAGGGCTCTACTACTTTGAGCCACAGCACCACTTCCGGGTTTCTGGTGGTTCATTGGAGATAAGAGTCTCAAGGACTTTCCTACCGGGGTTGGCTTTGAACCGTGATGCTCAAGATTTTAGCCTCCTGAGTAGCTGGTTTTACAGGCATGAGACACCTGTGCCTGGCTTATCCCTGAGGTTTGGTTGAACATGCACTTGTATTGTCACTCCTGATCAGTGGAAAAGGGTGAGCTGAAGAAACCACGAACTGCCCTAACTTGGTAAACCAAGGTTGGAAATTCTGGCATGCGTCAATGGGGGCTGGTAGAACCAGCCTGACCTGGCTCCCCAAGACACAAAGCAGTAATTTTGGCATCCACGATGGTCCTGCCCACGGAGAGTGCTTCCCCAAAAGGAACCACACCCATGAAGACCCTTGTGGCAGAGGAGAAAATGATCCTTGGTAGATGGCAAATAAGAAATACATCCCCCAAATCTTCTCAGCATCTGCAATAGACCTATGGATGTGGCATTAACATTAAAACAAATCTGGCTCTCTACCAAGTGGAAATTTTTAAGTTGAACTTATAGAATGGAAAAAAAAAAACAGAGGCCAAGACATCTATCTCCATAAAAGAGGGAAATCTTCTTCCTTTGTTTCCCTTCAAGTGGTTTTGCCAGGAGACGTGGCATTTACCATGCCTGATCACTGAGCTACCTCTCCCATCCTCCTCTCCTGGCCTCTTCCTCCCTCCCAAGACCTTTCATGCCACTCACTTTCTCTGTCACATATGTATGCTGACTATTATGACTGTATAGAAGAAGATATCCTTTTTTTGTCAGTCCTGGGACTTGAATTCAGGCCCTGGGCACTGTCCCGAGCCTCTTTTTTTGCTCAAGGCTAGTGTTCTACCACTTGAGCCACAGCGCCACTTCCAGCTTTTTCTGTTGATGTACTGAGGAATCAAACCCAGGGCTCTATGCATGCTAGGCAAGCACTCTACCACTGAGCTACATCCTCAGCCCAAGATAATCTTCAAATAAGAAACGCTTCCACGAATAGGCTTCTGCTCAACTTGATCTAAAGGGCATGATCAATTGTGTGAGCAGCAGCTTTGTGGGTACAGGGCCTAGGTTCAAGGCTTACCTCTGCTGCTGGCTAGCTACCTGTGTCCTTCAGCACGGTCCTTACACCTCTGTCCTCTATGTGTACATCTGTAAAAGCAAGAGAATACAACTCACAGGGTCACATGCTGCTGCAAGCAGACTGGTTGGGTACCAGCTGCTCACGCCTGTCATCCTGGCCCTTCAAGAGGCTGAGATCTGAGGCTCCCAGCGTGAAGCCAGGCAGGCAGGAAAGTCCTTGAGACTCTTACCTCCAATGAACCAGCAGAAAAGCAGAAGTGGAGCTGTGGCTTAAATGATAGGGTACCAGCCTTGAGAGAAAAGCCTAAAGGAGGTGTCCAGGTCCTGAGTTCAAGTCCTGATGCAAGTACTAAAAGAACAAAACTAAAAAAGGAAAGAAAGGGGTGAGACTCCCCCCTATAGCATAACAGCTCCCTCCCAAGCACGGGCACCACCCTGACTCCAGAGAGATGCTTTCCTTACTGCCCCAAGTAAGTGGGGCTCCCCCACTTAGTGCTTCCTGGTACAGTACCTGCGGCCCAACTTGGTTCTACCCAGGCCAAGGTTGTTGGTAGTTGGTTAAGCCTAGTAGAGTTCCTCACCTTCCCCAACCTCAGTTTTCTTGGCACCAAAAAGAGAAGACAGGAATAGTCATGTGTGCCTAGGTAAAGAGCAGAGGGGAAAGAGCTGCTGGGTTGGGGGGGAGGGGGGAGGGCGGCGCTCAGCTCTGTCTGCCTGGTTGGAGTTTCTCTCCTTGTCTTTTCCAAAGGATTTTTTGTTTTGTAGCTGTTGGGAATCAACTTTGTTCTCCAAAAGTCTGTACTTGCTGGGGAGCCAGCATTACTGATCGGAAAGAGAGAAGGTGCACAGGATAGCTTTCATTCCCCTCCCTCTCCTCCCCCCTCCTCCCCCTAGACAGGTGGAGGAGGGGGGCGGGGAGATGAGGCACAGGAGACAGACAGCATCCCCTTCAGGTTAGAGAACCTCCCTGGTTGGCGGGGATCAGCCGGCCCCACCGTTCCCCTCCTCCCCCAGGGGAGCAGGCTAGCTCGCGCTCTGCCCTCCTTGAATGTCCTCCAAGGCCCTTTCTTCCTCTGATGACTCTCACTTCATTCCTCATGAATTAGTCAGGAAGGAGCAGGCC